TTTTTTTTTTTTTTTTTTTTTCTATTACTTATTCACGAATAATGGAGTTTGGTAACAGAGGAGAGGCAAGTTTGGAGTCACAGAAACTTCTCCGTACATTTTAAATTAATCTAAAATTCTCTTTTTAGATTAACTTTAGAGCTCTGATTTCAATGGGACGCGACTTGAAACGAATATCAACGACAATCGGTCAATGAAGCCGACAGGGAGGAATAGCCGAGTAAGACGTAAAAGAAGACGAACCGAGCCAGTATGATAACAAGTTTCCTACAGTTTCCTCTTATTTTCTCTTTTTTTTTTCCAGGATATACTATTAAATGCGTTCGGCATCTCGAGAATTATTTTTCCAATTTTCTTTTTTTTCATTCGCACGGCGAAAAAATAAATTCGATGATAATTTTTTAAAATAAAAAATATACGATTTGATTCAATTTACGAATTTACAAATTCTTTTCCCTTTTTCCCCTCTCTATTTTTTAACATTTTTCATTCTAACATCATTAGTTCGTAAATTGTCCTAGATCGTCTTTGGAGTTTCGCAAATTAAATAATTCGCGAACGCGAATTTTCTCGCGTAATTTTTCATCCGTAATTCGATGACGAATGGGAGGAGCGGACGAAATTTCACGGCACCTCGTTTACTCGAGAAGGAAATTTTCTCGTGGACAGTCTAATATCGCTAAAAGCTTTTTAATAAACAGTCTTTGAGCACATTGGTGCGGCTGGTTGGTTGCGTAAGAATACAGGCGCGTGTAGGGGGTTACTCTCCCTCCCTCTTTTCCCTCGCGTTTCTCCTTCTGGGATGACGAGACGAAGACACTAGAAAGAGTATTCAATGGCGTGCTGAAAGATAGATAGATAGATAGATAGAGAGGAATTCGGTGGAAGCACGCGAGGAAAGATCGTGGGATGGAAGAGAAGGGGCAAGAAACGAGACGAAAGAAAGAGCGTGGACAGGATTAAAGCGAGAGTATTGTTACCGGTAACCGTGTCTCTTTGTCGGAGAGAACTTGAGTCGGTAATAAAATAAAAAAGGAAAGGAGATGGGAAAATCGAGGAACCGTGAAAAGGAGAGGAAGGAGAGGGAAGAAAATTGAAAACGACGAGAGAAGAAAAATAAAATGGGAGGAACGAGATGAGAGACTTACGCATAGGATGCGTAAAATAGATACAGAGGTAAAGAGAAAAACGGGAGGGGAGGAATAACGAGGAAAATGGGATTAATAAGATGGAATCAGAGGATTTTCGAAATATCTAAATGGCAGAGAAATTGAAACTAACTAAATGGGAAGAAAAAAGAGTGAAATTTAAAAAAAAGCGATAAAAAAAGAGAAACAAACGGGCAAGAAAAATAACGGTAGAGAATGTCGTGTGTTGGTCTAGAAAAAAAGAAAATAAAAACAGCGACAATAAATAGGATAGAAAAGACAAAATGAGGAGAAGGAGAGAAAAGGAAAAAAAAAGTATATCGGAATGAAAGTACGAATCCAAAGTTTATCTTTCGCTTAACAATCACCGACAGAGGGTGGTTTGCACGGGACGAAGGGAAGGTTGGAACACCGTATGAAAATGCAAGCTGCTACAAGAAGGTAGGAGGGGAGAGAGGGTGGGGAAGAGGAAACCGGAGAGGAAAACGGTCGCTGTTTATTTTACGAAGTAGCTAAAACATACGATATCCCGACAAAGTGATTCCCTTTTCGCGTTTTCGACTTTCTTTTTCACTTCTTCCTCGCTCAATTCCCTTCCTCTCTCTCTCTCTCCTCTCCCTCCCTCTTCGAACCGTCTCTGTTTTTAGTTTTCTCCGTTTTATCATCCCCCGACGTTCCCTCTCCCCGTTTCCAACAGCTTTTCCACGAAAAGCATAAATTACGCTCGAGAATTATGGCGAAATGACACGCGAGATCTCGTTCGCTTATCTCTCTCGACTTCGCGCCACCCTTCTAAGAGAAAGAGAAAGAGAGAGAAAAAGAAGGGGCGGCGACGATCAGGATCACTCTCGCATTTTTTACGTCCGTCATCGGCCGACCTTACGTCTCGAGAAGGGTGTTCTCGCGCACGTGTGTGTGTGTGTGTGTTACATAATTACCTTAGGAAAAGGAAACATCGAGCGAAGAAACTCGATTACGCTCACCCTCGGCGTGTTATTTCGCGTTGTTTCTCGCGCTTGCAAACCGCGAGGCCGCGTCCCGGACTTGTATACGATTCACCATGCGAATGAACGAGTAATTAAAACGCGCTTCCACGTATCCGTTCTCGTAATTTCGAGGTTGATCTCGAAAAGAAGGTTGATCGAAAGAGGGGCGCGAGAGATTTATTCGCGTCGAGATAAAGGATTTCCGATTTACACGGGGAATACGGGATTATAAGAGAATAACTCTTATAGAACTCTTGTGAAGTTGAAGGAATACCGTCGATTTCTTCGATTTTATCTGGTTTATCTCTTGTGATCCGAATAGAATTAAACTGGAATTTTCGCGATGGTTCGACGATAAGAAGTTTCGATCGAATAATTCTTCGTGATGGATTGTGAACTTAATACACGATTCACTTGTTAACCTTGTATTTTTCGAGTGCAAAGATTAAGACAAATAAATATTACAAAGAGATTTGATGATCCGCAAATTTTTCGCAAATAAAGTTCGGAGACGGTGAGTTTCGGAAAAGTAGCAGTGTGAATACGTGGAAGAACACACGGATTTCCTTTCAAACCGATAACATCGAAGTATCCTCTCACCCCTCCTCGAAAAGTTGGTCGTTAAAGGAACGATTTCGTTTTCTCGATGCCCCGCCCGGAAATAGCAAGAATTCATGGTTAACTCGCTTCTTCGACTTCCATTCTCCGTTTCCTACGTGGAATTCGACACCTACGTCCATCTGACTCGCCGAGATGGACACAATGAGGGGTATTATACGATTAAATCCGTCTTTGCTCTAATTCGAAAGATGAAATAATCCGGAAACGTCGTGGAAAACGTGCTTTGAGAACACAAGTGAACGGCAACCGCCAAAACAGTTATATATGGAATTACTTAAATCATTTGAAAGTGTCGAAATAAAAGAGAAAGAAAAAAAAAAATAATTTTCCATTGGAAAAAATAGCTCGATCAATCACAACGCTTTT